GTTTGAGCGTTTTTCTTCTCTTGCGGTGACATGCCTGCGGGCCAGGCGCCGAGGCACGCGCACATCTCGCACCCCCGCTTGCGCATGAAAGACAGAGGATTGTATATCCGTGTTGTCTTTATTTGTGCGACAGTCCGCGTGGGTGCGTGCATGCGCGTGTGGTTGTTTTTCTGTGGTTCTACCACTTATTGCGTCATGTGTTGCTGTGTGCGTGTGTGGGTGTGATTTGGAGAGTGTTGCGTCGTGCTGCCATGCTTCCTTTCTCTCATGGGGGTGATTTGCTGGGAAAGGAAGCTGACTCCCGTCTGTGTCTGTGCATAGGATAAAGAGGAAGCCCCCATGTCTCTTTTCGGCAAGAAGACGTGGCGTGTGCAGGACATCATACGCAGGGATGGCACGCAGGATGTGGTGAGTATCCTGAAGATCACGCACCCATTCCGCAAGCAGAGGGTGACGGTCGTGCCGGCGCCTCCCTTCGCGCAGGAGTCGTACTACAACGACTGGGTGTACCAGCCGTACGCGAAGGAGCACCGCATGTACATCAGCAACGACATCTTCAACCCCACTTACGTCTACCTCGCACGCATTCTCCTTCGCCGGGGTGTGTTTCCCGGCTACGCGTATTTTCACCCGATGGGGTTACCCGACTGCATTGACCTGAACCTCACACGACGTGACTTTATCGCACGCGAGCAGCCGCTGAAAACACCGATGACGCTTCTATTACTAACGCCTAACGTGTTCCGGCGTCGGCGTCACCCATGGATCGCCCGCCGAGTGCTCAAGGTTGTGGGAGAGCAGTACGTCACGCACCCACGGGAGGAGCACCAGTCTATGGTGTTTATTCTTCCACCAGAGTACATCCCAGAGGCCGTTAATATGCTGCAGAGCNACGCACCCACGGGAGGAGCACCAGTCTATGGTGTTTATTCTTCCACCAGAGTACATCCCAGAGGCCGTTAATATGCTGCAGAGCCTCGGCTTTCAGGTAACAGAACACACAACGGCTGTTGCCGGTGAGGCTGCGACGCTCACAAAGCTAAACACGTGGAGCAGTATTGCGCAGTTGGTTGCACTGGGCTATCTGTGGTTCATGGTCGCACTTTTTGTGGTACATGAGTCGCATCGGCTGCAGAACATGTTCCAGGACTATAAGCGGGAGATGGTGATCAAGGCCGGCAAAGACCCCGCCGAAATGGGTTTGTAGATTGTTTGCATGCCACAGAGGAAGCACGAGAGGTACCAGTTGTAAAGGATAGCGTTCGACAGCCGTGCGGGTCTCACTTCACAGATGAGGACTTCAGTTGGTCTTGGCAGGCCATATTGATGATTCTGCCGCTGCAGTTGTTGTTGATGTCTGTGCCGTCCCTTTGATGCACAGGCGGTTGATCTGCGTACTCATTCCTGCTCTCTTCCTC